GAGCCATTTAGGTTAGTGTCTGCAGCCAGATGGGGGCAATGGGCGTAGGCAGCAGGGAGATGCCTGAATGCCTAAGAATCAGGGGCCACGTTCTGAACTGGGAGACTGGAGGGGCCGGCTTGCCGGGGGACCCCTGGAAAATGAGAGGTTTCTAGGCACGTTCAGATGGAAATGCTGGGTGGGTAGCCGACCTTATAGGGTGGGAGCTCAGGAAGGAGGCTGCGTCCAGAGACACAAATTCGGGGGAGGTCAGTGTGGGCTGTGGCGTGGGGTCACCTGGAAGGGAGAGCAGCTCGGGGAGCAAGTGGGCCTTGGAGCTGGGGAGCCTGGGGGGACCCTGAGAAGGGGCAGGAGGGAGGAGACACTCTGGAAGCCGCAGCAGCCGCGGGAGGGGAGAGGCTGTATCAGGCTACGGCTCTGACTCCTGAGGTCTTTGCTGGTGTCGGTGGGACCCGCTCAGGCGTGGACAGGCAGCCAGATGGAGTGAGTTCAGGAAGGAAAGGGTGAGGAACGGCAGGCATGTTGTGGGGGCTGCTCAGAGTCAATGGGGAGACAGAGATCTGTTTAAAGATGGTCTGTACGCCTACAGGAGTGGGCTAGTAGGGAGGGGCGGATCGAAGATGCAGGAGAGAGGTACGACCGCTGGGCGCTGCCCTGGACGTGAGACGGGCCGTGAGTGAGGGAGTGGACTTGATCCCAGGATGGAAGTGGATGTAATGGTTCAATTGGAGAAGGTTTCTCAGGTTGGGTTGGGCGCAGCGCGGGACAGATCTGGGGCAGGGCATGGATTATCGGATACTCTTTGGGTTAGAAAATGACTCGAATGGTTTAACCATTTGGGCCACGCCTCCTGACCCGGGGCCCTGGAAAATCTGGACGATGCCGGATGTGGTCACTCTTGGTAAATCGTGCCGTTCTGTTGCGGCGGCAGGAACAGTGGTGCTCATCCAACACTCCATCTGTCCCCCATCCTGGAACCCCTCCACGCCCAGCCACAGTGACGGGTGGCTATCTGCAGCAAATGGGCTATAAGAGGGTGTGATGCGTCACTTCTGGGTTGGACCTAGCACTGCAGCTGTGACCCGAGGTGGTACCTGGAGCCCAGTACCCCCACCGCCCCACCGCCCCACCCCCTACCCCCCTGTCCAAGCTAGAAATACATCATGAGCTGAAGACAAGAGTTGGTTCCCTCACAGCACCGCCGTTTCACGGTTAAAACATTACCATCATGTAACCTGGTCTATTACTAACCTGAAAGCACCTGACCAACCAGGGCGTATAGCAGAGTTTGGGTTTGCCTTTGGATTAAAGGCCCAAGGATCTTGTGAGAAACTCTGGTGATGCTGCAGGCATCCTGGACGTTCTTGTGACTCACTGACTGTGCTGTGAACACGCCGCACACGTGCCTGGGGGGCAGCTGCATCTCCAGGTGGGGCCCATCACGAACCTGGGACTCATCTTTCCTCACCCGGGAGGAAGCTGATAGGTGTCCTCCCCATGGGCGGTTCTCTTTTCCATCATCTAAAGCCTGTAGTTCTTGGTTCCTAATGAAATTCACACCAGACCGAGGCTCACAACCCAGACGGGTGGCAGAGAGAGGAGGGGGATGAGTTGAAACACCGGGCCGTCCCCTCTTAAAGCCCACAGCTGGCAGGCTGATCTCTCCTGAAGCCTCCTACTGCTGCCTTTGCAGCCTGGGAACCCGGACCTGCTCTTTCACCTGAGTGATCTAAAACTGCAGTTTAGAGAAAAGGCTGACCCTGAGTTGAGGGTAGGATCCAGGCCCTCGCTTCACTCTGCAAAGCCAAGGCGGCTCTGCACGGAGCCTGCCTCCTTCCCACCTGCCACCCCGCGGCCCCCTGCAGAATTACAGGCTCCTGCCTGTCCTGGAGTGGAAGGATCCTGTTACCTGTCTGCATGCTTATCTGATCTTCACAGGGTACCAACCCTGGAAGGGGCCTTGCAGATGACCTAAGCCGGTCTTCTCATTTCCAGCTAAGGTAACAAGAGGCCCAGCGCAGGGACACAGCGCTAGTGAGAGCTGAGCCAGGCCGGGAGCCTGCAGCCCCGGAAGTCCCCGGCTGTTCCTCCAGGTCCTCACTCCCCCCACCACTCAGCCCATCTTCCCTGTGCCTCTGACGTGCAGGGCCCCAAGGTGAGGGGCCCCGGAGCTGCCCAGAGAAGGAAGGTGGGCAGGAAAAAGGCCACTGCGCCAGTGATTGCTCTGTGCGAGGTAAAAAGGCAGGCCAGGAGAGGCTCCCCGCCACTCCTGTGGGCAGAGTCGGGGCAAACCTCCTGACCCGGGCTTCTCCTTCGGGGAGGGCAGGGAGGGCAGGGGTGCACAGGGCAGACGGTGGGGGCGGGGGCGGGCCTCCTTGTGGAGCTCAGGGTCAGCCAGCATCGCTCAGGAATGAAAACGGCCCCCACAGTTGTTCTGCGTTGGGCTGAAATGGCCTGGCCTTTCCGCAGCTGCTTCTGTCACTCACTGGGTGTGGGCTGCCTGGGGAGGGGGTGCAGACCCTGAAGGAGTCACAGCGGGAGGCTGTCTGCTCTGGGCAGTTCCAGCAGCTGGGACAGCCAGTCCTTTCTTGAAGGGAGTCTGGGCAGCACATCTCAGAGGCCACCACAGCGTTTGCAGAACTGGCGTGGTTGATGGGGTGGGTTCCTGAGGACATGGAGGAGGACAGGGTCAGAGCACAGGGAAAGAGATCAACCTTGGACACAGGGAGGGGGCATCTCTGCTTAATGAGGGGGAGAAGGAGGTAAGAATGAGGCCACACAAAGGTATAGGTTTGAGTAGAGAGACAAGGTGTTGGGGAAATTGAGCCTGACAACCTCGATTTTCTTTCTAAGTGCAGAAGCGGGATCATCTGCTGAGCTTGGGCTTAGTGGGGTTAGGGCTTGAGGGCAAGAGTCCTCAAGGTAAATGAGAGGGTGCAATCCCGGCGGCCGCAGGGCAGTGTGTTGAGGGGCAGCTGCTGATGGGGTGGCTAGAGGTTGTAAGCCCTGCCTGCTGGGTCATGTGACTTCCCTGGTGGTTTTCTGAGCCCAGTGGGAGAGGGAGAAGAGCAGCCTCCCACCTGTGCTGGGGCGGGACTGGAGAGGGGGTGGGCAACAGGGAGTTAGCTAGTTGCCTTAGGTTCCCAGACAGCTCTTCAGGATTCTTTAGAGAGAAACTCTTGATTTGAAAATGGCGTTTGTCTTCTAAGGGGACTAGGCATTAAGAGGGTATTAGGAGTTAATGTGTGGGTGACATCACCGGCTGTGTCAGTCCAGTTTATTGATTTATTTTTTCATGGATCACACTTGGTATTTTGTTGTGAAATCTTGGTCTGATTAAAGGTCACAGACTTTCTCCTCTGTCTTCTGCAAGTCTGACAGTTTTAGGGTTCTCATTTACGTCTCTGAACCATTTTGACTTCACTTTGTGTATGATGCAGAGTGTAAATTGAAGTTCATTAATAATTAAGGAATGCCAACTAAAATTACACTGAGATACTCCTTAGGATGGCTAAATGAAAAAGACTGGGAACATGCAGTGGTACAGTCACTGTGGAAACAGCTTGTCAGGTTCTTAAGAAGTCACACATGGTACAACCACTCTGCTCCAGGTCTTTAACTACAGGAAATGAAAGCACATGTTCACACAGAGACTTATTCATTCACACGTGTTTGCAGCAGCTTGACTGCAATATCCCCAAACTGAAAACCGCCCAAGTGGACACCACTGCGTGAGGGCTAAACACACAGCGATGTATCCAGCCAGTGGAACCCTGATCATCAACACAAAGGAAGGAACAACTGACTCATGCAACAACCTGCTTGAATCTCAATATAACTGTGAGGAGAGAAGGCAGACAAAAAGTTGTACACACTGTACTTTCCATTTACATAAAAGTCTAGAAATGCATACTCTGTGACTGAGTGCAGCACAGTGTCTGGGGTGGGGGAGGGGAGGAAGGGTTCCCAGGCACTTGAGAAGCCTCTGGGAGTGATGGACATGTACCCTCTTGATTGTGGTGATGATTTTGTGAGTTACACGTGTCACAGCTTCAGTCTATATACTTTGATCAGTGCAGTTACTGTAGTTTATTTCTTAATAAAGCTGTTAATCTATTATAATATTGACCTGAAAATTATAAATTGAATCATTAATTAGCGAACTGAGCAAACTTATTAACAATACTTACCTTCTTAACTGTCAGTTTAATTTAGACCTATTAGAGATTTAAAAGGCAGAACTGATAGCTCTGTCCTTAAACCCAAGGTAGTTGCAACAGAATCTGACAAGAATGGGCGCTCTGTGCTTTTACTACAAAGACACTCTCAACACACTGCAGGGTCCCTGTGTCAACTCTGAAGGTCCCAGAGTGACTCAAGTCAAGCTCCCCAGCAGGGCTGACAGTGGCCCCCGTCTCTGAGCGGCAGACAGGGAGACTGAGTCTCAGGGGCTGAACCGTTAGCCGAGGCCCACGCTTGTACAGGGACCAGCTCTGGGGTCTTGGACCAAAGGCGCGCCAGCACACGCCCCTAACTGAATCCACGCAGCTCTTCTGAGAGCCCCCCAGCATCACTGCCGTCCTCACGGGCCTCCAGCAGTTACGGCGCTGCTGGCAGCAGGAGGGTTTTAGAAAGTGTAACCCAGCTCGCGGGACACAGGCGGCCGCGCTGAGCGCTTGTGGCACCGACTAAACAGCGCGGGACCACGCGTCCACACCCGGGAAGGTGCTCCTGCGAGTCTACACTTCGCCCAATGGAGGCCCCGCCCCGCCCCGCCCACTCCCTGGCCCGCCCCTCAACGTCCCACCTAGGCTCCGCCTTCCCCGAAAGGCCCCGCCCCTCTAGGGCCCGCCCTCCGGAAGCCCCGCCCCGCCCACTCCCGGGCCCCGCCCCTCAACTTCCCACTCAGGCCCCGCCTCCCCGGAAGGCCCCGCCCACTTGGCCTCGGCGCTTTCCTGCTGGCGTCTGGTAGTGGCAGCGGGCGGGCGGGCTTCGGGCGGATGGAGCGGCCGGTGGCCGCCGCGGGCGGGGACGTGTCCCTGCACAACTTCAGCGCGAGGCTGTGGGAGCAGCTCGTTCACTTCCACGTGATGCGGCTAACGGACTCGCTCTTCCTCTGGGTGGGGGCCACGCCGCACCTGCGCAACCTGGCCGTGGCCATGTGCACGCGCTACGTGAGTGGGCGGGGAGCGGGAGGGGATGAGGAAGGGGGAGGGGTGCTGGCGTCCCGGAGGGGGCGGGGGAGGGAGGGGGGAGGGGCCGGGTCTGCCGGGGGCTGCGCCGCCCACCCGGGGGCCTCTGTCCCGCCGCAAGGCTGGTCCCCCCCAACCCCCGGTCTCTGGTTGGAGTGTCGGGGTCCCCGCGGGAACTCTGCTGCCCGCTGTCACCCTCCCTGTGCCGGGGGTGGCGGGTCCCCCCCTTTTTCCTGCCGGTTCCTCGCTGACCGCGTTTGTTTGCGTTTCCCGCACGGACCTGTCTCCCGCTGTTTCGCTCTGCTGTCCCATCGGGGGTGTAATTGGTGTCCTATTGGGCTCCCCAGACCCCGGCCGCTCCTCCAGGGCCGCCCCTCCCGCGGAATCCAGCCACTTCTCACCTCCCTCACCTGTCACCTGGGCCCCGCGCCATCGCTCCCCCGGCCGAGGTCCGCTTTGCCACCTATGGGGTGTGTCAGAGCCGCTGTACCCAGGGGCCGCAGACTGGGGGGCTGAGAACAGCAGAGAGGGCGGAATTGAGGCATCCGCGGGCTGCTTCCTCCCGTCTCCGGGCTTGCGGTGCTGCTGACACCTCGGGGCCCCTTGTCTGGCAGCCTCCTCACCACAGTCCTGCTCCAGTGTCCCAGGCCTCCTGTGTGCATCTCAGTCTGTCCCCTTCTTCGCAAAACACCAGTCCTATTAGTGGAAGGGTCCGCCTCACTTTGCTTATGTCTCAACTACATCTGCAGAGACCCTGTTTCCAAATAGAGTCACCTTCACAGGTGCTGGGGTCAGGACGCCAGGACTTGGACTTTCCTCTTGGAGGACGTGGCTCAGCCTGGTGCTGACAGCATCAGCCTTGTCATCCCTGCACTCAGACCCTCAAGAGTTCAGAGCCTGCATGGACCTCCAGGCCCTGCAACGGCTGGGGCGCCCCCACCCCTCTGACTTTGCCCCCACCCACTTGCCCCTTTGGGCTGCTCCAGCCCTTCACGGGGCAGGCCTGTCTGCTCCCAAGAGAGGCTGCAGAACTGGGTGACACAGGCCCACTGCGGGGAGGCTGGCCTGTGATCAGAAGCGGGGCTGCGGGACCCTGGGTGCCCAGGTGATCCAGGAGGCTGGACCTCGCAGAAGAACTAGTGCCGCTCTCTGTTTTCCTTGCAGGACTCCATCCCCCTGTCCACTGCCCTCCTTGGGGACGCGTCTGACACCATGTCCACCGGCCTTGCCCAGCGCTTAGGTAGGTTCCGCAGCTCAGCTGCTGGAGTGCCCGGGTGGGGCTGTTCAGTGAAGCGGGGAGGTGAGTCAGTGTAGGAGGGAGGGTCTCCGTCTGGGAGGTGAACCCCCTGGTTGCTGCTGGAAGCCCAGGCCTTGCGCACTGGTCTCAGGAGGTGGTACCAACACCCTCTCTGGGGGCCTGTTCCCCTCGGGCTCCAATGGCCTTGGCTGCCTCCGAGCCAGTGAGTGACAGGTGATTTTGCTCCTCGTCCTCTTGGGAGGCGAGGGTGAGTGATGCCCACGGCGCCCAGTGGCAGCGGCTCCAGGTAGCATCCAGGGCCTGCCCTTCACTGCACGTGATGCTGTTCAGAGCTGGAAGGGAGATGGCCTGGCCTGAGGGTGGTGTGGAGGGGGTGTAAGCAGGGGCCGAGGTTGGGGGCTGCAGCCTCCACTGCACCCCGAGCAACCGTCCCACAGATGCCTCACCAGTCCAGGTGAGGATGCCCGTGGCTGGTGTGTGTGACTGCCCGGTGGTCCCTGGTGCCTGGGCACCTCGATGGGCAGAGCAGCCTCACCCCCGTCTGGCCTGAGTGTCCCAGCCACGTGCGGAGCCCGGCGTCCTGGCTGGGGTGCGGTGGTGGGGCCCCTGCTGTGGTTTTGAGGCGCTCTCTGTGGTTGTGTTCACAGTTCTGTCAGCCTGGTCCCTGGGGAGTGGGCATGTCTGTGGTGGTCGCTCTGGGATGCCCCACGGTCACACGGATTCCGGGCACCACCGGCTTTCTAGGGGCGGGGGTGTCACGGGGCCCACAGGCCGCGCCAGACGCGGTGGAGACCACAGGGCCAGCGGCCGCATCTCAGGAGCGGCCACCACACTAGTGCTTTAGGCTGAAGTTACAGGAACCCGAGTGGTAAGTCAGCTTGGTAATCTCTTACTAGGAAGCGATTTTGATTCTACAGAAAAGCAGCAAGAAAGAGAGAAAGTCTTCCTGTTCAGCTTTTTTCACCTGGCTTCCCAGGTGCTGCCATTCCTTCTCTGCCTTTGCTAGAGTTGGTGGTCTTCAGTGAAAATAGGTTGGAAGCCTGATGCCCTTTCGTTTCACTGTGTGTTTGCCTGCGTTTCAGGGTAACTGCCTCACCCCAGCAGGCAGACCCCATGTGCCGGGCCTGGGGGAGGAGGGTGGGAGCCTGTTGGTGTGTGGAGCTGGGACTGGGGGGTCCCTGAGTGTGGACAGAGTCCGGGAGAGGAGGCGGTGGGAGCTCGTTTGAGGAGAAGGAATGAGCTGGCTCTTCAGTGAAGGGAGGCCGGCTCCCAGTGTCCTCGGGGCGAGGCCTGGAAGCAGTCTGTAAGCAAAAACTGGGGTTCTTTTTATTTCTTTTTTGCATTTGTGCAAATGTTGGGGCTTTTTAAAATTAGCATTTTTCTTTCACGTGGTTTACATCAGTTTACAAACAACGTAATCTGAAACAGAACACAGACGTCCCCTGTAACTGAGGTCAGATGTGGTGGAGGCTCCCACCTGCCCATGTCTGCAAACCTGGTGGCTGTTGGCCACCACCCAGCAGGGTCGGGCACACGTGGTGGATGCCAGCACTGCCCTCTCCACCCCCACCCAGGGCGGGTCACATGGCTGCTGAGATCGCGTTGGGCTGGCCTGTGATGCCCTGCTCCGTCATCCTCTGGACCTGGGGTCTGGACCCTGCAGTGGAAGTTGTGTTATTAACTGTTGTTGGTTGTCTGGACGGTGCTGAAGAGACAGGTGTCCCGAGACCATCTCGTGTGGGAGAGCTGAGCGCCCTGGGGCTTCCCATGGACGGAGACCCCTTGCTCCATGCGGCTCTGGAGGGCAGAGGGGCTGCTGGGTGGACGAGCAGGTGGGCTCGGGTCTTGGCTCGTGGAGGGATGGGGGTCAGCGGCCCACGGGGTCGGGGACTTTCTGCCACTGAACGCGGAGCCTCTGTGATGCGAGGGGCCCAGCTTCCCCCGCGCCTACTCTTTGCCTCTGATGGTGGCACTCGCCCGTCTCTGTGGCCCGCAGGGAGGAGCGCTTTGCCCCTGCCCCTGGGGGGTGGGACTGGGTGAGGGGGCTGGTATCTTCCGCTTGTCCTCAGGACCTGTCCTGCCTTCAGGTGCTGGGTGTGCAGCTGAGTCGGTTTTCCCGGTTGGAGCCGCTCCCACCAGCCCTAGGTGGTTCTGTAGAAAGGGGCTCAGTCATGTATTCAGCATGCAATTGAAAACCATACCTCGTGTGCGTGTGTGTGTACGCTTGCACATACATTCATGTAGGAGTGTCAGCTCCTCTGGGAGGAGGGTGGTGGGGCTGGGGGAGAGGGTGGTACTGGAGGACCTTAATACTTTAAATCTGTGGACATCATCTTGTGGTTTGAAGAAGCGCAGCAACCAGCCAGCCCTGTGTGTAGCGTGGTGGGTCACAGACACCGCGATCTGTGAACAGACTTGGGGGGTCTGGGGGTGCACCTCACCGGGTCCTGGTGCTGTGGTTCTCAGAACTGCTCTTCCGAATGAGCAGCGGGTCCAGCGACTGGTCTGCTTTGCAGCAGCTGCCTGTGATGTCGTCGGAGTCAGAGCTTGCTTCGCTCTCAAAAAGCCTGCCTTTTCCAGGCCTTTCTCCGCTGTGGGCATGCGTGGGGTCACACGTGTCCCTGTGGTCTCTCTCTTCCAGCCAGGAAGACCAGCAAGCAGGTCTTTGTCAGCTATAACCTTCCAAACACCAGCAGCAGCTTCGAGTTGCTGGTAGAAAACCGGATCAAGGAGGAGATGCAGGCCTTTCCGGAGAAGTTCTAGCCGGAGAGACTCAGGCACAGGGGACGCTTGAATAAACGGACTGGATCCCACCGCTGCAGCAGGTTTAGGTGTTCGCGTTTGTTCTTAAAGGGCCGGTCTCCTCCCTCCAGTCGCCGGGTAGGGTCCCCGGGCCGCACCTGAGGGTCCAGGGAGGAGGGGCCCAGCAGGACGTGTGAGGATGGGGAGGCCGCCCCGGTCCCCTAGAGGGCGTGGGCCATGACTGTGTCAGGCCGTCCTGCTGGCTCCATCCCCGAGGTCTCGCTCCACTGGGCCCTGTCCCCTCACCTGGGAGGTGGGAACCGTCTCCGGGCTGGGTTATCACCAGAAACGCTCTGCAAACCCTATATGCCGCTGTCCCTAGGAACTGGGTTCTGGGTTTACCTGCTTTGCTGAACGGATCCCAGCGTCAGCCCCGCCCCATGCTTCCTGCCACCCCGTCTTTCCTTCTATCTCCTCTCTCCTCCACGCCCTGGGCCCTTCCTGCCCGCGTCTTAACCCTCAGCCTTTTCCTGCCGCTCGCGGTGGCATCAGTCTCTCTGGGACATGTGCTGCTTTCTGGAAGCCACAGTGTTTCTGGGTCAGTGGCTCCTCACTTGGCTTCCAGTTGCGTCCCTGGGGAGTTTTTACAGCTTCCTCCCCAGAGTCAGGCAGCCCCTGCTTTGTGGGGCCGGAGAGCGCCCCACGTGCTTCTCGGCACAGCCAAGGCAGGGACTGGACTCTTTGACGTTTGGGGTCCACATGGGCCCCTTTTGTCCCGGGAGGCAGTGGTTCGGGACCCTGGAGTGCGTTTCACGTGGTGGCAGGTATCACATTGGGCTGGCTGGGACGCTCAGCCGGGATGAAAGGCCCTTCCGGGAACTGGGTCCTGGGCTAAGCCGCTAACCTGTGAGCCCCGGCCTGTCATGGCTTGGAGGTACGGAGGGCACCTCTCTAGGAGGGAGGAATAGGTAACAAAATCAGGGCTATGGAGAGGAGAGTTTGGTATAAATACTTTATTAAAGAAATATTGCTTTCTTGTTAAAAAAAACACTACATTAAAGAGAGCCTTGGGTGCTCAGTCTTCCGACAGTCACAGTGTGAGAATCGTTCCCTCCCTGGGAGGCTCCAGGCCCCGGGTGAGGTCAGCAGGACGGCCACACACCAGCGGGCGAGCTCGGAAGCCTGCTGCCCCTCCTCGGGGGTCTGAGCAGGGCACTGAGCAGGCGGTGGGCAGTCACCCCGCCCTGCCTCCGCCTGCCCGGAAGACAAGGACCTGCTGGCCAGGAGCCCCCCGGCCTGGGGCAGGGCGGGGGCTGGGGTCACGCAGGCGCTGAAGCAGGGACAGTGAGACCCGAACGCACAGAGTTTATTCCTTGTAGCCAGTGGTCGTGAAATGCCCTGCAGGGGATCCCATCGGATGAGGTGGGGAAGACATTCCAGAGGAGGTTTGTTAATGGGGCAACATCTTTATTTCTGTACATTTACACACACATCTCCCCCATGGTACAACAGCCGTGACGGCATGCAGGCGGCACGGAAGGCCGGGTCAGGGCTGGGTGCAGCTCTGTGCCGCCAGCAGGCACTCCAGGGGTCCTGTCCGGAAGCTTCCGGGTTGCTGCCATGGGGCAGGGAGGGCCCCTCAGTGAGGCCGGCACGCTGCGTCCCCCTGGCCCGGGGCTGCATCCTGGCCAGGGTCCCCACGGTCTCGTGGCCTGTCGGCCACCCAGTTTGGCTCTAGGAGGTGGTACCATGGACAGTGCTTACTCTTCGAGGCCTCATTCTTGCTGTTCTGTGGTCAGACCAGCTCACCAGCCCCTTCCCCCTAGTTGCCAGTGATTACGCTCTTAGAAAATGAGATATTTAAACCGTTTTACTCTGTTTCGGGTGCTAATATGTGGGATATTAGGTGAGTTGTTACTGGTTTCTGGAAAAGAACAGAAAGCAGAAGGGTTGCCTGTGTGCCTGACTTGGAAGGGGGGGGTCCCGGCTCCCTGGGGTCAGGACAGGGGGTGCAGGGTGGCGCCGGGCCCCCCAGGCGGGCGGTCAGGTGCCTGAGCAGCGTCTCCCTGCTGAGCATGGAGGACACGGGCCGGGGGTCCATGCATGACTGGGGCCTGGCCAAGCAGGCGGAGTGCTGCCGCCTTGCCCACGCGGGCGGGGGCTTGGCCTGCGGGAGGCTTTTCTGCTTTGGCCCCGCTTCTCAGCCATTGCTCACGGAAGCCGTGAGCCCAGGCTGCCGGGCAGTGCTGCTCTCATGCCCACAGGAGCCCAGCCTCGGCCAGCGTCTCGTCTAGTCCAGGAGCCGGGCCTGACCATGACGGGACAGTGCTGACCCCACAGGACTGGCGTCTACCGTGGTCACCTAAGACGGACAGTCTTCCTGGAGGTGCAGGCCACACCCTGCGGCTTCACGCGTTCCCTAGAGGTCTACACCGCCAGTGGGAGGCCACGCAGCGCCTGGGGTCTGGTGAGTGGGCTGGTCTGGGGTCGCAGGTGCAGGCACACCTGGCAGGTGGGGCCTGGGGACCCTGCTTGCTGCTCCGGCCCCCACACTGCAGGCCTGTCCTGGACCGGGGGGCCCGCGCCCAGCACGTGAGAAGGGCTGAGGCATCTCCTGGTTTGGCAGACAGGCCTGGAGGTTAAGGTGAGTGTGACCCGCCCGTGGAAACAGAGAACAGAAGTGACTTGAGAGATGGAGAGCCAGGAGGAGCTGGGTCACAGGCCTAAGAGTTTGCTCGCTTTCCCACAAAGTTCTCCGGAGCCCGCGGCTCCTCCCAGGTCGGCCAGCGTGTGGGGGCTCGGTCGGGGGCGGGAGGTTGCCTTGCTGGTTCACACAAACTTGGGGCCACGCTGTCCCTGGAAGAAGAGCCCACGGCAAAGACGTGTCCCAGAGCCGGGGCCGGGCCTTCCAGAGAGCCAAGGCTGCCCCCAGACGGGTGCCGGTGCTGCGACAGGATGGGGCCCGCCTGGCTGGCGAGGGTAGCTTCTTGGCCTCCCCCGTGCCGCCTCTGAAACAGCCGCAGACGGGAACCGAAGGCCTGACCCTGACAGGCGGGAGGACGGGTCGAGGAACGCGACGGCGCCCTCGCACGGCGGGGCGGGGCGAGGCGAGGCGAGCTCGGGTGGGTTATTGCTTCTCGCGCTTGGCCTCGATGCCCTCCGAGGCTGCGGTCAGGCCCCGCCCAGGGCCCGCTCCTCGCCGGGGGAAGCAGAAGACCCGGCCGGTCCCTCGCAGGCTCCCCGGGGCCTCCAGGCTGGTGATTTCCGCGCGGTGTGTGCTCAGGACACGGCCTACCTGGGCCACGCCTGCGAGAGGGCCCGTCCCTCCCGGAGCGCTGCCGCGGTCAGGTTTCCCTTGGGTTTAGTTCAGGAAGGAGCCGGTAGTGAAGTCGTGCTGCAGAAACGCTGACTGCGAGGCGGGGCGGGGCGGGCCTTTCCTGCGGGAGCTGAACCTGAACCGGGAGGTGGGCGACACGCGCGCGGGAGGGCGGTAGCAGCAGTGACTCGTGGACGCGAGGCGCTGGTTGCTGGGGAGCGCAGCGGACAGACCTGCGCTGGAAGACCGTGGCGAGGCCGCCACTCATCATTTATGACTTCCGGTGAAATGGTGACGCTTTTCCCCGAAAGAGCTTCCGGATCAAGTATAAAAAGGATGATCTCGAAGGAGACGAAGCTGGTTTTAATGATATTGTGAGCTGCTTTTCCCTAACACAGAGCGGAAGCTCTTCCCTTACAGAAAAGACCTTTACAAACCATCACAGAGACTCCAGCAAAACCCTAACCATTCACTTCTCAGTCTGAGGAGAGCGCAGCCCCGGGAATGCTCGGGGGCGGGGGACCCCGGGGAGCCGGGCTGCACGGTCCGGTCCAGCGGCGGCGTGTCCTTCCCGAGGAGGGGGCTCGGTTTTGAGATCAGTGAAGGGAAGGGAATAAAGTGCTTCTTGTAAAAATGACCAAAATAAATACAAACATTTCATGGCAGAAAAGAAAGTCTCCGAAGGGTCGTCTGCTAGGTCCGCTTCCCCAGACGCGTGCGCGCCTCGAGAGCTTTGCAGGGTCCCCGCCCCACCCCGGGGTCCCCAGCCTCCGCGGAGCGGGGTCTGCCGCAGCCGCGCCCAGCTACATGGGCCGCCCGCCGTTGGCCGTGGCCCCGTCGGGCCGCCCGTCGCCCGCGGCGGCCGCGTCGTGCAGCCCCGAGTAGTCCTTGAGCTCGGCGTGGGTGGGCAGCAGGGGCTGCTCGCCGCGCCGGGGCGGCAGGAGCGGCTGGCGCGTGTAGTGCTCGCCGTCGGGGATGCTCTCGGGCAGGCTCTGGCCCCGGCTCTCGGGCAGCAGCAGGAGGCAGATGATGCAGATGAGCGTGCAGCAGGCGAAGATGACGTGGTGCAGGAAGTAGCCCTTCTGGTTGTGCAGCTCGATGATGGGCGCCGTCAGCATGCCGAAGCCCGCGCTGGCCAGCACCAGCCCCAGCCCGCCGCACCTACGAGGGTACACGGGTCAGCAGGCCGCCCGTCCCGCGTTCCCCGCGTCAGCCCAGGCTTCTTCCTTCCTTCACTTTCAAAGGTGACTCTATAATAAACACCACCGTAAGGGGGAAAACCAGCCTCACCTGCCCTACATGATAGACAGTGTTGAGAAACCAGGTGTTAGTAGATTACGCTGTTGTCCCGAGGCTTGCTTTCCGCTTAGAAGAGAGGAGGGTGGCCACAGATTAACGAAGGCATTAAAAACACATCAAGAGGAAAGCTGCCAAGACAGTGGAGCATAAAGGCCCTGAGCTCGCCTCCCTGCAAGGGGCCACCAGAATCACAGCTGTCTGTGGAACAACCATTGATGCCAAATAGATCCACAACTGAAGACGTAAAGAAGGAACCATGACAAGATGGGTAGGAGGACCAGAAGCACAATATAAAGTCTCATGACTCCCACCAGACCACTGACCCACATGGTGGAGAATATATTCCAGAGGATCTCCCACAGAAGTGAGTTCTGAACCCCAAGTCGGGCTCCCCAGCTTGGGCGTCCTGCACCAGGAAGAAACACACCGCAACACAATAAAGGCCATATATGACAAACCCAGGCTGCCCAGTGGCGCAGTGGTAAAGAATCTGCCTGTCAGTGCCAGAGACGCAGGTTTGATTCCCCTCCAGGGAAGAGCCCCTGGAGGAGAAGACGGCAGCCCACTCCAGTGTTCTCGCCTGGGAAATCCCATGCACAGAGGAGCCTGGGGGACCACAGTCCACGGGGTCACAGAGACTCGGACATGACTTAGCGGCTGAGCACGAGCATGGTCACAGACCCAGAGCTGACATACTCGACGGTGAAAAGCTAAAAGCATCTCCTCTGCGATCAGGAACAAGAACAAGGTGTGCACTCTCACCATTTTTACTCAATGTAGTTTTGAATAAAAATCCTAGCCACAGCAGAGAAGAAGAATCCAAATTGGAAAGAAGTAAAACTGTCACTGTTTGCAGATGACGTGATACTATATATAGAAAATCCTAAAGATGCCACCAGAAAACTGCTGGAGCTCATCAGTGAATTCAGTAAAACTGCAAGATGAGAAATTAATAAACAAGTCTGTTGCATTTCTGTACACTAACAACAAACTATCAGTAAGAGAAATTAAGGAAACAATCTCATTTACCATCACATCAAAGAGAATAAAATACATAGGAATAAACCTACCTAAGGAGGTAAAAGACTTGTATTCTGAAAGCTATGATGCTGATGAAAGAAATAGAAGATGACAAAAACAAATAGGAATATACACTGTTTTTGGATTGGGAGAATCACTGTTCTTAAAATCACCACCACACAAGGCAATCTACAGATTGAGTACAGTCCTTATCAGAATACCCATGACATTTTTCACAGAACTACAACAAATATCCTAGAAACTTATGGAAACACAGCAGACCTGTAATAGCCAAAACAATCTTGAGAAAGCAGGAGAGAGCTGCAGGAATCAAGCTCCCTGACTCCAGACTACACTAGAAAGCTACAGCGATCACAGCAGCAGGGTGCTGGCGCAGAAACCGACACGCAGACCAACGGAGCCGAATAGAAAGCCCAGAAAGAAACCCGCACGCTTATGGTCAGTTAGCCCGTGACAGAGGAGGCAAGAATGTGCAGTGGGGAGCAGACAGTCAAGCATTCTCTTCTGGAACGTCCACAGCAGACACCCTGCTTCGTAACCATTGGGACGCTGCAGATCAGATCGCCCTGGTCCTCGGCAGGAGGGCCACTGGCCGAGTGAACGCAGCAGAGCGAATCTGACGGCCCTGCAGAGAGCGGTGTGACTGAGCCACCGGAAGCTGGATAAACGAGAGCCTGAAACAACCGTTGGGTCCTCATGAGTCTGCTCACTCCAGGAAGCCGGAGGGCGCTGCAGGGGGCGTGTGGGCTGCTGGGGCTAAAGCTCTCGTTCCCAGGCTTTTGATAGCAGTGAGCTGTCATTTTCTCCAGGACCACCTGGGTGACCTTCCCGTGCCTGAGTCTGGGCGGTGCTGAGGGAGGTGGGCCCACAGGGAGGTGGGTACAGAGCCCCCAAGGGGGTCCTGGTCAAGGCGCTGGGCTCCCCTCAGAGTCCAGGTGAACTTGGCATGGTAAGGTGTTAGGTTACTGTGCGTGCTCAGGCGCTTCAGTTGTGTCTGACTCTGCAGCCCCATGGCCTGCAGCCCGCCAGGCTCCTCTCTCCACGGGATTCTCCAGGCCAGAACACTGGAGTGGGTAGACTTTCCCTTCTCCAGGGGATCTTCCCAAACCAGGGATTGAAGCCAGGTCTCCCACATTGCAGGTGGATTCTTTTATCGCCTGAGTTACCACTGGCAGGCTGGTTCTTTACTACTAGCGCCACCTGGAAGGTCTATCAAATGAAGTGTATTTGATTTACGGTAGAACTTTGGACTGGTTTTTAAAAAGTGCCTCTGTGTCTACAAATGCATACATATAAAATGCAATACATGTATGCATGCATATGTACTATGCAATATGTCTTTACATATTTTTCCCCACAAAAGCCGTTTTCTGTTGATTTCCTATTAAGGATCCCTTGGGATTAGTAAGATCAGGAACAGCTGTGGCAGAATCTGACCTTCCATTTTTGGCTCTTGTGTTTCAGAAATCTCAGTTCAGAGAAGGGGATGATTATGTGGTTGGTTCTGAGGCTCTACCCCGCCCCCACCACCCCGGAATGCTGACTTTGTACATTTTCTGCTTTTCTCTAGCTTGTCAGGAGAGGGCAGCACCTGCTCATGTTTAAGCAGTAGATTTACAGAGAAAGGAGGACCCAGGGCAGGTTGCCTCCCCCTGCTTCAGGAGCACAGAGGTTTAATATGCACTGGATATCTGATTTACTAGTGATGACGTGATGGTGATGCATTAGTCCCTCAGTCGTCCCCTACTCTGCGACCCCAAGCACTGCAGCCCACCAGGCTCCTCTGTCCATGGACATCTCCAAGCAAGAATACTGGAGTGGGCAGCCTTTCTCTTCTCCAGGGGAATCTTCCTGACCCAGGGATCAAACCCAGGTCTCCTGCATTGCAGGCAGATTCTTCACCATCTGCACCAAAGGGCCCTTATTTTTTACTAGTGATAACACCTAAATTACTTTAACGATAAAAAGGTTGGCATGCAGGCAGATTTCTTATAAGTAGCAAGCTTGAATTAAGTTTTCTGGGATTTTTGGGGGAAAAAAAAGAAAAAGAAAAAACAAAGAATCTTCAAATTATTCTTTTAAAGACATGAACCCAGCATCTTGAACACGGAAAACAAGCCTCCTGTTTTTCGAATCCTCCGTTGTGTTACTTATTTTTACTGCCTTTCTGTGAAGTCAGAGATGAACAAATATTTCTGCCAATCTCTGCATATCACTGCCAGAAACACTCAGGTAGGCATCGCTGATAACACCATGTCCCTGGGATCAGACCCTCCGCGTGCTCTCTGTCCCCACCCGTCCCGAAAGACGGGGCCGTCAGGATGAGTCTCTCTCTCGGGGCAGAGGTGAGCTCCCCCGACTTGAGGCAAAGGGCCTGAGTCTTGGGTCACTTCCCAGGGGAGCCTGTGCTGTAGACATTTATATACAAGGTGAGCGGCCGCCCCGCGTGTCTCGAACGTGCAGGCTGGTGCCCGCTCGTGAGGGCCGCCTGGAGCAGTGACACAGGTGGGTTCCATCTGGCGGGAGTGGGGCCAGGGAGGGGCCGGTCAGAGAGAGTAAGGTGCTGGGGGAGGGGGAGGGGGGAGGCAGGCACCGGCGCCCCCCGGAGCCTGTGAGGAGGTGTCGGCAGGTGATGCTGCTCACCTCAGGTGAAGGAAACACAAGCAAAAATAAACGGGACCTAATTAAACTGTCTGAAGTTAAAGGTTTTGCATAGTAAAGGAAACCGTCAACAACATGAAAAGCCAACCTACTGAATGGGAGACAGTATTTGCAAGTGGTATGACCGATAAGCAGTTAACATCCAAAATACACAAACAGCTGACATAACTCAACGTCAAAAACAGAAGACCCTGAATGAAACATCGGCAGAACCGAATATGCATTTTTCCAAAGAAGCAGTGCAGATGGCCGAGAGGCACGGGAAAACGCTCCGAATCACCGGTCATGAGGGAAAAGCAGATCAGAACCACAGCGAGGTACCACCTCACCCCTGCCAAAATGGCCATCATCGAAAAGAACACAACCTGCCCCCCACGCCCACGCCGATGAGGACGTGGAGAAGCGAACTTTTGTGCCCTGCTGATGGGAAGTGCTGCAGCCACGATGGAGGTTTCTCAGCAAACCAACACTGGAACTACCACATGATCCAGATTCCACTTCTGGGTCCAAGGAAAACCCCAAACACCAAGACCAGACATGCTCCTCAGTGTTCAGAGTGGCATTACTTACAGCAGCCAAAACGTGGAAGCATCCCAAGTGTCCACAAACAGACCAAGAGGACGAGGTGCACACACAGATCAAGAGGACGAGGCGTACACACAGATCAAGAGGACGAGGTGTCCACAGACAGATCAAGAGGACGAGGTGTATACACAGATCAAGAGGACGAGGTGTACACATGAGATGGGATGTCAGCAGTGAGAAAGAACAAGACTGTGCCATTTGCAGCATGGATAGATTTGAAGGGTGTCATGCGAAGTGAAGTAAGTCAGAGAAAGACAAATAGTGTATGGTATCACTTGTAAGTGTAATCTAAAAAGTAGAAGAAACTAGGGAATATAGCAGAAAGGAAGCAGAATCACAGATACAGGAAACAGACTAGTTAGGGGCTCCCAGTGGGGGGAGAGTGCGGGGGCACGACAGGGTGGGGGGTAAGAGGTACAAACCAGCCGGTGTAAAATATGCCACAAGGATGTACACTACAGCACGGGGAGTGGAGCCAGTACTTTATAATTTACCTTTCAGTTAACATATAGTAACCTTCAAACACTCAAATCACTGCAGCACACCTGAAACTTAGATTGTGCGTCGACTGTCCATAAAGAAAAGCAAAGCCCTGCAGCCGGGCCCTGGGGCACAGGCAGCCAGGAAGTTGGGAGCTGAAGTGGCTCGTCCCTGCCCCCAGTGCCTGCCTCCTCCCCGTCCAGTTTGTGAGGGCGCCTGCTCGGTCTTTGACCTTCGCAGCTGTGCTTGTTCCGAGGGTGTGTTCCTAGCGGTGGTGAACACAAGGCTAATTCTCTATTCGCAAACATGAAGCTTGCAGGCCCGAGCGGCCCCTCCCAGCTGCTCAGGGGTTCACCTGTGAGATGGGAGGGGCAGGAAGCCCACTTCCCCCCAGCAGCTCTGGGATTGCTCCCGAGGGGACACGCCAGGAAGGGCCGGGATGCGGGGTGTCCCGCGGGGAGCGTCCTCACTGGGAGACCACAGACCTCACCTCCTTCCTCTGCAACTACAAACGCATCGCCCAGGTCAGGTGTTCTGTCTAGTCTGTCATCCTGACAAGCTGACCCCGAGAACATTCGCTGAGTTTCCGTCCCCAATAATCTTGCCAGGTCTGCCTCCGAGGAAAAGGATGACTGCGTTTCCTTCAGTTCAGCTTGTTCAGCAGAACCTAACCATGATGAATGCAGTCTGCCGACCGCCAGGGTGAAGGGTGGCCCGCCCGGGAGAGACAACCACACACAGGTCTGACCATGATTCCTGCCCTCTGAAGGAGCCCTCCTGCTGGGCGCCTTTGTGAAGGGAGGGCGTTTAACCCGCAGAGAGACGCCGAGGGCTGCTGTCTGCCTGGCACTCTGCGGAGTCCCGCCTGAAATAAGCTCCTGGCATCGTATTCCAGGATGGGGCAGCCTTCAGGCTTGGCGCGCGCGTGAGAACCCAGAAGGAGGCATCAGAAATCAGGCAGTCCTGCGGACCTGCCTGCCTCCACCCAGAGCCCAGGGGCAAGACAATCTGTCTTGGGCACCCTGCCTTGAACGGGACTGGCCGCGTGTGTCTCTCACGTGGGAAAGGGAGGCTGGCAGGGTGTTGCGTGCTGCGGGCCTGGGCTCTATCTCACGGCCGCATAACTGCCACACTCACAATTGACAAAGCACGTGTTCAGAAAGTTAATGACATTCACATGCCAAGTGCAGGAGCTCGACCGAAAGTCACCGCCTCACCGAACCCAAGTGACATCCGTGACAGTAGGACACCCGTCCGTGTTGCTACCACCTCAGCACCAGAGCCTGTGCACGCGCCCCCCGCCCCCCAGGGACATGGCAGGTCCCCCCGCCATTTCAGAAAACAGGCCACTACTTAGTCTTTGCACGCGGCCTCTGCTGGGCAGGCATACGGGGGTGGGGTGGTTCCCAACAAGTATCTGTCAGACAGATCAGTGACGTAACCGGCTGGGCTTTCTCTCCGTGAGGCTTTTCTTCGGACTGGGGACGCCGGCCTCTCAGCCAGCAGAAGCCCGCGGCTCTTTCTACTCTCCTTTCCGAGACCGACTTGTTGCTGAATCCTCCTAGGACAGTGGGCAGCGCTTGGTGGGGCCGAAGCACAGGCATATATCCAGGGGCCCCCCGACACCCCTCCTTTACCAGGGCCTCTTGTGTGGCTTGTGCCCCCAAATCCCTCTGTTCCCCATCCCTCCAGCTGCCTGGACGGGACCCAGGGCTCAGTTCTCCCCTGATTCGGGCACCCCTGGGGGTCAGGGTGGAAGAGCAGTCCACCCCAAGCGGATGCCCAGTGCAGCCCGCACCTTGTCCAGAGGCCCAGGCTAGAGCTGGTGGCTCATTCACCAGAAGCTCTGCCAGGCAGCGCCCACCCCAACCCCAGTGTCCTTGGAAGAACCCTGCCTGCCCCATGGACGGCCCACACGCACCTGATGACCGTGGGGGTGATCTCTGCACAGAAGAACACGCTGAGGCTCCCCACCGCGTGGGAGGCGAACATGCCCACGATGGAGAAGGTGATGGAGAACTTGTCCTTGACGCTGTCGCTCATTCCTGGGGGAGAACCGGGGCGGTGAGGGGCTGGAGGGTGCGGGGGGTGGCGGGGCAGGGGGGAGGGGGCCTGACGGCGCTCTCCCCTCCTCCCCTCTGCCCGGGGTGAGGCGCAGGCCGGGGAGACGAGCAGCGAGTCCAGGCGTGGGAGGTCAGAGCCTTCCTGGCAGGTTCCCCCGACGCCCCGGGGGGCTGGAGCGTGGGGCCCAGGCTGACTCTGCCAGAAGCTGAGGACGGGGGCGACCGGCAGGGACGGAGGCTGGGGGGCTCCCTGGCCTCAGGCCTGACCAAGACGAGGGACAGGAGCCCCGAGCTTGATTTAGCGGAACAAAAACTCAGATAACCCCGAGAGAGGAACGGGGGCCTGGACGGAACGTGCCGGACCGAGTCAGGCATCTTGGCCGTGGCTCGGGGTCTGACCTCACACCCAGGCGGCGGCAGGCAAGCTGCTGAGGGTCGGAAGCAGGGTGCGGCCCGTCCCCCGCGAGGCTGGTCGGGAGCCCGGGGGGGCTCGGCTCTGTAGGCCGGGATCGTGCGTGCGCGCAGCCGTGGCCTGTGCGTGCGCGCAGCCGTGTTGCGTGCAGGGGCAGCGGTCCGGCAGTCCCCGCGGCCAGGGCGGCGGGCTTGGGGGCTTCACATGCAGGATGGGCGGCTTCCCCTGGCGGCGGTCAGCCAGACCTCCAATGCTCCAGGGCCGCGTCCCCGAGGCCCTGCATCCCAGCAGGTGTGGCTGGGCCGGGCCACGCTGCCGGCTGCTGCCAGGGGAAGGGGCGAGGGCAGCGTGCAAGCCGGACGCAAACGGGAGGGGGGCAGCCAGGCTTTCTAGAGGCGGGAGGGACAGAGGACAAGTGGATGCGTGTGGTGTCCAACCTACGGCCAACTTCAGCTGCAACTCTTGGGGCGAAAGGGGTGTGGGGAGAGAGGAAAGGGAAACCACAGGTCTGTGAGTCGCTCTGAAAACGCCCTTCAGGTGCAATAAAAAGACAGCGTCACCGCACGCCCCCGGGGCTCACCTGAGTCTGGATGCTGGCTGTATTTCCCGATCACTGGGCCGTGGAACCGCAGTGGAGGGGGACGAAGGCGGGCAGAGAGGGGAGAAAGAGAGCAGGTCAGGGCGGCTGTTACGACCTCATGTGTCCAGGGGCAGCGGGGCGGCCTCTCTGCCCGCATGCCAGGCCCACGTGGGCAGCACGGTTGACACCGCCAGCGGCCAGAGAGCAGGAGAGCTCAGGGCCTCCGGGTGGGTGTTTCACCAAATGGAGCACCTCTCACCAAATGGAGTGCTTCCTGTTCAGAAGGGAGGTCTGGGGCCCCTCTGGCTCTGGAGCCTGAGGGGGGTGCAGCTCTGAGACGAGGGGTCCAGGCACAGCACCCTGCACCCCCTCAAGCCAAAGGGTTACTTTCACTGTGTCCAATGCCACTCAGGTCCCCGCAGCCTGTGCTGGGGCACCAGGCTCAGGTTAGACCAGATGGGATCATGTGCCTGTGAAGCCTGGTCCCCTGGGCACCCCAGCTCAGGGACCAAGGTGGCGGCTGTGAGCCTGGGCTGCCGCTTGCCTGCACGTCCCCCCAACCCAGGGGCGCCGAGGAAGGCTCCGCAAGGGCAACTCAGGAGGCCCCAGCAGGGGACGGACCCCATGGGGCTGCAGCCCAGTCTCCCGGCAAGATGCTGAGCGCACGCAAACTCGCCCAACTCGGAAAACGGAGTCCAACACTGGTTGTTCTAGAATCCAGTTTGCACAACAAGGCTGAGGAAGTCCTCAGTCTTTTGCTTCTCTTCCCTTTGTTCTGGACACGCGCTCCCCACCCGGACGTCACACAGACCTGGGATACTAGGAGGCGTTTGGCTTTCTCAGCAGCTCTGGCCTAACTCCTGACACCTCGGGAGGGAGGGGCCAGCCATCAGAGGCATCTGGTTGCCACGGCGCCAGAGTGGGGTGGGGGGGGTATGGTCCTGGGTGGAGGGGGCTCGGGTGCCCGGCTCCTGCCTTGCTCCGGGTGATCAGACACTCTGGGCCTCGTCCCCGCGTGGGAGCAGCTTCAGTTCACCAGAGTTGCACTGAGCTTGACTCTTAAGAGCCGAACGAGCTACACAGATGGTCTAGCTTTTCTTTAAATGATTTTTAACATTTACTGAGAAGTTCTCCGGCCCCAAGAGCAGCTAATAAACTCGGGAACACGTACTGAAAAGCAGTGTCCCAGGGCAAGGGTGTCACCGAGTGTTTATCTTTCCCTTGATGTCACACGAGAGAAGTCCTTCCTTACTTCTCAGTGATGATGAATCACAAAGGGGCCATGTGGCCACCAGGGGGTCATGGCTGCCAGGACTGCAGAGACCTCGGTGCCCGGGAGGGCTGGGGTCAGGGCAGGAGAAGAGACCCCACACCCTAGGGGCAGGAGGGGAGACCCCACACCCTAGGGGCAGTGGCCGCGTGTTCTAAGGGTAGCTCATCCTGCAGCCGCTCAGTGCAGGGGTTCTGGGAGGACAGCGGGGCCCCTGGGTATCGCCCCCCCCCACCCCCGTGCCCCTGGTCCCGCCCGCCGCCCGCCGCCCACCCCCCAACTCCCCTACCCCCCCCCGGCCCGGCCCACTCACGGTTGAGCAGCCCGAGCTGCAGGAGCGAGGCCAGGGCGGTGAGGATCATGAAGAGCAGCAGGCCGCCCCGGCGGCCCAGGACGCGCACTGCCAGGCACATGGCCAGGCAGGACACCAGCGCGATGCCGGCCGCCGCGTAGTAGTCGGCGTAGAAGTCTTCGAGCAGCGGCACCTTCACCTCGTGGCCCATCATGCTTCGGGCGAAGCAGTGGTGGATCCCGAAGCCGGTCAGCCTGTGGGCACACGGCGCGTGGGCCACGGGGTCCCAGGGGCGGGGCCGCCGCGCTGTCCCGAGGCCGGGGGTCTGTGTCCGCCAGCACGGTTCCCTCCAGACGCTCGGGCAGCTCCTCGGCTCACCGGCCCGGCGCCGCTCCTGGGTGCCCTGCCCGCCGCCGCCCGGCCCCTGCACTCACGAGTTTACACACAGCACCACGATGTTCTTCCACAGGTTCCGGGTCCCCACCACCTTCACGATGCAGACCTTCCTGGGCCTCCGGGACAGCTCCTTCTCCAGCTCTGTGGGGAACGGCTCGTGAGCCACACTGGCCGGCCAGCCAGCAGGGGGCCCCACTGACAGCTGGGTGCGAACTGGGGCGTCAGGAGGAGAGCGGTTTCTGCTCAGGCGGGGGAGGGCCTGGCTCTCGGGGCAGAAAACTGGCTTTGCAGGTGCAGCAGGCGCTGCAGGGAACCGGGCCTTTTCCAGAGACAGCAGGATGCACGAAGCAGCCACCCAAGTGGGCTCTGTCTGTAGGCGCTGCTGGCGGGCACCGAGGCCCTGGTTAGGCTCTGGCAGGGGTTCTCCTCCTTGTGGAGTCTGACTGGTCTGCATCTCCCTCTGCTTAAGGACTGGGAGACGCACGCGCTGCCCTGGTCCCCAAACCACCCCTGTGGGCACAGCAAACTGGGCAGGTACAGTGCCCGCATCTTAGAAAGAGAAATGGCCAAGTGGGCCAGGAGACCCAGCCCGCCCGTCCTAGAGGAGATCAGTCCTGAATGGCCCAGTGGGCCAGGAGACCCAGGCCGCCCATCCTAGAGGACATCAGTCCTGAAAGGCCAAGTGGGCCAGGAGACCCAGGCCGGCCATCCTAGAGGAGATCAGTCCTGAAAGGCCAAGTGGGCCAGGAGACCCAGCCCGCCCGTCCTAGAGGAGATCAGTCCTGAATGGCCAAGTGGACCAGGAGACCCAGCCAGCCCATCCTAGAGGAGATCAGTCCTGAATGGCCAAGTGGGCCAGGAGACCCAGCCCGGCCATCCTAGAGGAGATCAGTCCTGAATGGCCAAGTGGGCCAGGAGACCCAGCCCGCCCGTCCTAGAGGAGATCAGTCCTGAATGGCCAAGTGGACCAGGAGACCCAGCCCGCCCGTCCTAGAAGAGATCAGTCCTGAATGGCCAAGTGGGCCAGGAGACCCAGGCCGCCCATCCTAGAGGAGATCAGTCCTGAATGGCCAAGTGGGCCAGGAGACCCAGCCCGCCCGTCCTAGAGGAGATCAGTCCTGAATGGCCAAGTGGGCCAGGAGACCCAGCCCGCCCGTCCTAGAGGAGATCAGTCCTGAATGGCCAAGTGGGCCAGGAGACCCAGCCCGCCCATCCTAGAGGAGATCAGTCCTGAATGGCCAAGTGGACCAGGAGACCCAGCCCGCCCATCCTAGAGATCAGTCCTGAATGGCCAAGTGGACCAGGAGACCCAGCCAGCCCATCCTAGAGGAGATCAGTCCTGAATGGCCAAGTGGACCAGGAGACCCAGCCCGCCCATCCTAGAGGAGATCAGTCCTGAATGGCCAAGTGGACCAGGAGACCCAGCCAGCCCATCCTAGAGGAGATCAGTCCTGAATGGCCAAGTGGACCAGGAGACCCAGCCAGCCAGCCCATCCTAGAGGAGATCAGTCCTGAATGGCCAAGTGGACCAGGAGACCCAGCCCGTCCATCCTAGAGGAGATCAGTCCTGAATGGCCAAGTGGGCCAGGAGACCCAGCCCGCCCATCCTAGAGGAGATCAGTCCTGAATGGCCAAGTGGACCAGGAGACCCAGCCAGCCCATCCTAGAGGAGGTCAGTCCTGAATGGCCAAGTGGACCAGGAGACCCAGCCCGTCCATCCTAGAGGAGATCAGTCCTGAATGGCCAAGTGGACCAGGAGACCCAGCCAGTCCATCCTAGAGGAGATCAGTCCTGAATGGCCAAGTGGACCAGGAGACCCAGCCCGTCCATCCTAGAGGAGATCAGTCCTGAATGGCCAAGTGGACCAGGAGACCCAGCCAGTCCATCCTAGAGGAGATCAGTCCTGAATGGCCAAGTGGACCAGGAGACCCAGCCCGTCCATCCTAGAGGAGATCAGTCCTGAATGGCCAAGTGGACCAGGAGACCCAGCCAGTCCATCCTAGAGGAGATCAGTCCTGAATGGCCAAGTGGACCAGGAGACCCAGCCAGTCCATCCTAGAGGAGATCAGTCCTGAATGGCCAAGTGGACCAGGAGACCCAGCCCGCCCATCCTAGAGGAGATCAGTCCTGAATGGCCAAGTGGACCAGGAGACCCAGCCAGCCCATCCTAGAGGAGATCAGTCCTGAATGTTCACTGGAAGGACTGATGCTGAGGCTGAAGCTCCAGTACTTGGCCACCTGCTGTGAAGACCTGACTCACTGGAAAAGATCCTGATGCTGGGGAAGATGGAAGGTGGGAGAAGGGAACAACAGGATGAGATGGTTGGATGGCATCACCAACACGATGGACTTGAGTTTGAGCAAGCTCTGGGAGCTGGTGATGGACGGGGAGGCCTGGCGTGCGCCCATGGGGTCGCAGAGTCTGACTCGACTGAGCGACTGGGCAGCCACAACGACACCCTTTTCAGGGGCCAGGAAAGGAAAGGAGACTCAAGCAAGCAGGACTGTTGAAGCTGGGGAAGTGAGTAAAGACTGAAAGTGCGCCAAACAGAAGCGGCTGGGGGCCTGAGGAGTGGGCAGCCCTGGTGGGGTCCTGGGCAGCCCTCGGTGAGGATGTCGGGTCCGGGCTGCAGCTCGGCTGCCCGCAAGAACAGCCGTGCGGCTTCCCAGCCGTGACACAGTCAGGGGACCTGGGACGTTACAACCGGGAGACTGATGGGGAGGTTTCAGAATTCTGTCTCTGCAGCTTTACCATAAACTTGAGATGAATCCTAAACAAGTGCATTAAAAATAAAGCCCACAGTGGGTGCAAAGGCCTGGGGGAAGCGGGGTCGCCTCTGGAGGGGCCTGGGAGTGGCAGCTCTCTTGGGAGACGGGGTCTTGGGGGTGTGTGCCCCCCCCCAGCCTCCTAGGCCCCCTCCATGCCGTCCCACGGGAGAGGGTCACCACCTCACCAGTGACAGCTGGGGAACAGGCCGCTTAACCACAAGGGCTTAGGAGGTTTCCTCTTTTAAAATGTTTGGGGACTCCCCTGGTGACCCAGTGGTTAGGGATACGCCTTCCAATGCAGGGGACGTGGGTTCGATCCCTGGTTGAGGATCCAAGAGCCCACAGGCTATGGGGCAACGAGGCCGGCGCCGCACAGCCGCTGAAAGCACGGGGACCCGTGCATCCAAAAAAGAAAACGCCCAGCTCAGCACAGCTGGGGCCCGGAAGGGAGAAGGGGGCTGCTCCTACACCCGAGGGATCAGCCCCGAGCCTCCAGAGCCTTCTTCCTTTTCTCTGTTCAGGCCCAGACCTGGCGGCCTGTGCCCCAGCTGGAACAGCTGGCCCTCCAGCTGTCCATCCACAGGTCCTCCTGACCTTTATCGTCCCCTCTGCAGAAACAGGCTCATGGGGGTCACAGACACACTTTCCCCACGGTCACAACACTAGAAGACGTTTAAAGAGCATGGAAACGTGCTCCAAACACATAACGCCGACCCAACGATATGAGTATCCTCACTGTTGTAAAACTGCTCATGACCCTGCTCACAGGTTCTACACTTGCCCACCATGGAAATCTCCCAAGAAGAAAAACCAAACGTCCATTAGTACAGCTGTATAGATTTAAATCTTTTTTGTACTGTGGCCCAAACTGAATTCCTGATACTTTCTGGTATATGAAATAGAGGTTGTTAAGAAGCTGTAGCAATTGTAATTATGACCTGAGTTTTTTTCTTTTTTAAGCATTAAACTCTGGAGCCCAAGTTGACTGTAGTCTGCAGAGGTAGCTGCGTTACTCTGGGTGGAATCCCATTGACCCGTCGGGGCCGCTGGTGTCTTGCGCATCCCCGGCCTGTCAACAACAACTTAAAACTTCCCAGGTCTGTTCTGGGAGGAAACCCAGCGGGGAGGCCCTCGGGATGGACACCAGAGGCCTTTTGGTCTCTCCAGAAATCTCGGGGCTCCCTGAGGTCATCACGTGGGGGAACAGGAGTGACAAGGGGCACGGAGAACAGGCTCTGAGCACCTGCAAGTTGATGGGGAGACGCCTCCCCTCTCCCAAGATTCCAAGACAAAGGCGAAGTTGGGCCTCTGGGGCTCCAGGCCTCCCCTGCTCCGCCTGCGCCCCCTTTCTGCCCTGCTCCCCGCAATGGGCCACCGGGGAGCCAGTCCTGGCAGGACAGGTGACAGCTGTCCTCACTTGGGGAGGCGAGGGGCCTGATGGAACCCCAGCTCTCACCCTCGGGCTGAGGCTTCCCGTCTGATGAAGGGACGGATTAATGACCAGACAGAAGTCGCGGGGCTGCCTGGCCCCCCGTGTGCAGCCGCCTCCCTGGCCCTGGGCTCGGCTGACCCAGACCGTCCCAGCTTCTCCCCAGCCAGTGCAGGGACTCCTTCCTGGGCCTGGGGGACCCCCGCTGACCCCTGAGGTGGCCTCTCAGCCCACGAGTCTCCAGCCAGCTTGAGGACCCTGCAGGAGCAGGAAGCTTATGCAGAGGGTCAGAGGCAGGTCGCTGGGGGCAAGGAGGGGGCCTGACACCGGGACCTGCTCCTCACCCGGGGTCCAAGACAGAGCGAGCCCCACGGGCCGGGTCTACACACTGTTACTGAGCAGGGCTCGGGCAGAGCCCCCTGGCCTGATGTGGGTACCCTCGAACCTCAGAGCCTCACCCAAACGACCTGGGCCAGGACGCTCCCCTCACCGTCAGGCTGCCCAGAGAGGGCCTGCTGCAGGGGGACAGGACTGCCCCAACCCGGCTCACGCGGAGGAGGCGAGGGGGCTCCTCCCAAGGAGGGAACGCTGGGGGTGGGGAGCCCTGCCCCAGCCCCAGCTTGGGGCCCCTTCCCCAGAGGTAGAGGGGGATGATCTGATTGACAGAACAGGTTCTGAGGGGGGTCAAACACATAAAGAGCGGCTCAGCCCCGCCTGGCCGGGGTGGAGTCAGGGCTGGAGAGAAGCCGGGAGGGGCCTGGATTAGATGCCAGGGAGGAGCATCCACCCAGGCAGTGCAGGGCGCAGGTCTGGAGCTTGGACAGCCGCCGTCCCCCGGCTTTGCCCGGGTGCTGCCGCAGAGGGAGACCCAGGGGCGGGGACAGCCACGTGCCCCGGAACCCCGGGCTGAACCCAGAACCACCCAACTCCCAGGCAGGGAAGCGGGAAAAGACTGAGCACTGCCTTCCAAAAACAGGAGGGAAATGAATCCGTGCAATGAGGATGCAGACAACAAGCTCCTCCCAGATGGGCTCTAACCCAGAAGCAGCAGAAGAGGCGACGTAAGTGGGGAAACACCGGAAACAAGGTACTCTGATTTAAGAGCGCTGACGTGCAAATGGCTGGGTTTGGGCAAGAATGGGGATGAGGGCGGGACCCTCCGCAAGGAGCAGATGCGGCCCTCCGCCCCGCCGGGCCTGCGTCCACCCCCCTCTCCTGCGGCAGCACCGAAGCCGCTGCCGCTGGGCTTGCAGGGCCCACGTCCCAGGGCTACTGCTCACTAGCTGTGTGACCCCTGGCAAGACGCTCAACCTCTCTGTGCCTCGGCCCCCTCACCTGCGAACGGGCACAGTCACAGCACCCTGCACAGAACTGCTGTGGAAAGACAGCACGCGCCACTCACTTCTAGGGCTTGCTGAACAGAGTGTTCAGGGTTCGTTCCAAGATCTACTGGACCAGGGCTCGGGCTGCCGGGAGGGGCCCAGGAGTCTGGGCTCCAACACCTGGTGACACCACGCGTCTGGTCCAGCCTGTACTGACATTCCTGATAAATTCTACGGATCTGAACTTTCCTGCTTCTTCCGACGCCCAGTCAATAAGTCCTGACAGATACAGACAACGGGGTAGCTGCCTGAAGGTCCTGCTTGGGAGAGATGGCTCGGGGACTAGGGCCACCCCTAGGCCAGCGTCTGCTGGCACCACCCCCTGCAGGCAGGCAGGCAAGGCTGAGTGCCAGGCGCCGGCTAAGCCTCGAGTTTCCCCCGAGGAGCAGGGGCACGGAAGGTCACGCCTCCCTCCAGACTTGGACCCGATCACGTTCCTCATTGAGCTGGGGACTGACCATCACAGGAAGTGAGACTGCTGGGTGGGGCCACTGCCTGGAAGAGTGGGGCCCGTGCAGGGCGTGTTGTGGGGTGACTCCCTGTCCTGGAGGGGCCTGGTGGGGCCTCAGGGCTGAAGGGAAGACACGCTCACCAGGCATCACGCCTTTGATGTCACTCTCGGGGCTCATGCGGTTCTTCTGCGTGAAGTGCAGGATCAGCTTCTTTGCCGACTCAAACTGGTGGGTGGCCATGAGCCACCGCAGGGACTCGGGGAAGATCCTGCAGAGAGACGGGGGGGAGCGGGTGAGGGTCTTTGCATCGTGTGGGGTGAGGAGACGCTCTGTCGGGGGCTGGGAGTGTCCAGGCAGGTCCGTCTGGGTTTCTGTCCGTGAGCTGGGGAGGCCAGTGGGTGCTCAGGACTCGGGTAGTGCCACCGGCCAAAAGAAGACTGTGGCCCTGGATGTTCCTAGTTTTCTTTAGAAAGTGTAAATGTTGCGATTTTTAAAATATGGCAGAAAGGAGCAGCATCCTCCCAGCTGTGTCAAGAAACCCATGTAGGCTGTTGAGCACAACGCTGTGCCTCTAAAGCCCGCTCCGGCAACTCACGGACGGGCTGCCTTCGTGACAGTTTGTCTCAAAACCAGGGCTTCCCCTGGTGGCTCAGACGGTAAAAAATGCAGGAGACTTGGGTTTGCTCCCTGGGTTGGGAAGATCCCCTGGAGGAGGAAGTGGCCACCCACTCCAGCATTCTTGCCTGGGAAATCCTATGGACAGATCTGTTTCAAAAAACAAATATTCACAGAATGATTTTAAGTTTTAAAAAATGCCCCCATCCTAGCAACCTGACAGGCACTTTCCCGGGCCTCCCCCGCAGAACTATTTTCACCTTGCTGCTAATGCCCGGAACTCCTCCCTGAAAGGATGGTTTTCAAGGGTTATTGGCAACAGACTCCTTGCTGGTTACTGTTTAGGATGAAATCTGATGAGGATTCCCAGTGGGAGGAAGAAACCTCCCAAAGTTGTGTCTTATTCTCAGTGCATTTTGTAATTTTACATTTATAACGACATTTGCAAGTCGGCCGAAGAGAACAACGTGCCTGTTTGGAGCAGGGGTCAGCATGCTTTTTCTGTAAAAGCCCAAACAGTCAATATTTTAGACTTTGCCTGTGGGCCACGGGGTCTCTTCATAAACCAGCCACTGCCCCTTCCTCAGGGGCGGGCTGTGTCCCCCAGGACTTGACTCTGAGGCTGGTGGCGGCCCTGGGTGGGGGACGCCGAAGCTGGGAGTCAGGGCTGGGGACGACAGCACAGCCCCTGCGGCCCATGCTCCGGGTGTCCCCGTGTCCCCTGTCACTTGCAGCGTGTCCGGGAAGCGTGACCGGTGCTGATAAGCAGTTATCTTTGCTGCTGCCTGGCACCTGCCCTGCCAGCTCTGGGGAGACTCCAGTTAGAGTCAGCCAGAAGCCAGAAAAGCTGACTCTGACAGAGTCACATCACTCATGATGCAACAGCTGTCATCCCCTTGCTTGTTTGAACAAAAATCAAGTTTCTAAATGTTCATAATGTATTCTGCAGGAAGAGCTGACGTCAGTGGTACATTGGGTACACTGGGATGCTCTGTGAGTGTTAATCTGAGCTGGGTGACCTGGGTTGTCACAAAGAGTCAAAGAGCCCCCCTCCCAACAGGCTGCAGGAGGGTCCTCCCCAGGAAGGCATGGTCCGAGCCAGAAGCTGGGCTCGAGGAGCCCCACGTCTTTTCTCCTGGGAGCCCCCCAGAAAGCTGATAAAACACAGGTTTCAAACTGGAGGTACAGATTTTTTTTTTAAATAATAAAAGTTAATGTTTTACTGGCCTTTATTTTTTACAAATTAGCTTTGAATAATGTATGTCCAGCAAACAGAAACACTCAGAATCAAATTACATAGACATTAACATCTTGCCATATTTTATCGGAGCTTTTCTTTGTAATGAAATAGCCTAACACAAATGCCCACTCTTACAGCTCTCAGTACCCTCTCCCATCCATCTTTCTGATTTATTTGAGTTTAGTGTCACGTTCTTATTTCTTGAGAGAGACACATAGATCATTAACTTTAATTCTTCTTTTCTAATATGTGCATTTTGGACTTCAAAATTCCACCTACCATTTTAGCTACACTTTACAACTTTTGATAAGGAGTTCTTACTGAGATTTGATTCTAAATATTTTGTGACTCTCTCAGGATTTTTTCTTACCTATGACAAACCTCGTATATATTTTAAAAATGTAAATGTTACATATATATGTATATATTACATATATATATACATTTACCAACACATAGGGTTTGAGAGGAGGGTAGTGGTAGAGTTGCAATCTTGTTTCATTGATTTTTAATTTTTTAAAATCATTTTGAGAAAACACAGTCTGTGTTCCTGCAAGCTGGCACAACCAGAACCCTGGATCCAAGAGGAGAGATGAGAGGAGAGAGGCAGGGCCCAGGGAGGGGCCCCCTGAGGTTATGGTGGAACAGCGGCCCTCGGACCAGAATGAACCCAAGTAAGAAACTGCTCTCCCAGGAGACCTGGGCACAGGTGACAGGCAGACTCAGCCACACGACCCGTCTCCAGGGGCAGACAATATTGCAAACCACACCCTCACGACTGGGTCTAAACTCACTAGGTCTGCTGCCACACGTTTCCCATGAGTTTAAGCCTTTCAAGCTTGTTATGTGGAAGTAACATTTTCCCCACTGCACAGATGGGAAGACTCAGGTGAACAAAGTTCAGGGACATTGTCCAGATTCCACGGGGTTAAAGGCAGAGCTGGATCAGAGCCCAGGCACCCCGACCCAGGACCCGTGACCAGAACCTCGGGGGTCACAGCAAAGATGCCCAGCCCGAGTGCAGGGACGGTGCTCCAATGATGGGGGATGGGAGGCAGACACTGGTCCAGCGACGCCCTCTCGGGCCCTCCAGATGCTGCGGTGCCCATCCCCTCCCCGGTGTTTCAATTTGCTGTGGTCATAAAGGACTCGCTGAGCCGTCCGCCGGTGAGAAAGCCCAGGACGGCCGCTCCAACCTGGCTGATGTGCGGTGTGGCCACATTATGGGAACTTAATGAAATGTCTCCTGACAAGTACATAATGTAATAACACCATGGAAATTAAAAAGCCGGCCAGTGGCCCAGGGTCTGGCAGGAATGTAGCTGAGCCTCAGGAATATCCATCATTTTCAACAAAAATTTAAGAGCGTAGTGAGCGGCTGGAGCCCACGTCTGCCGCGGGACTCACGTGTGGGGCCAACACTAAAACAGCAACCACTCCAGTATTCCTGCCTGGAGGGTCCCACGGACAGAGGACAGAGGTGGCTACAGTCCATGGGGTCGCAGATGAGTCAGACAGGACTGAGCCACTAGACAACAAGAAGAAGCAAGTCAGACTTGCACTCATGGTCTGTTCTGCATCCCCACCACCTGAAATATCCCTCAGAAATTAAAACTTAATATTGTGATCCTTTCATAATACTATGATGCTGACATTTTCTTCTTAACGTTTAACAATAAAGCCAAGTACTGCTTCTGTCCCACTGGACATCATGCACGTTGCCTTCCTGCTCATCCACATAACACCTGGTCCTGGCAAGGGTCTGCATCTAAAGCTTGTCTCTCTTCAAATCACTGAACTGGAACATTTACTCACAAAGAAAGTATGGAAGTAAGGCTGATTGCTGACACTGTAAAATTAATCCTATACTTGAGTTGTTCTGTCTGTGATTCCAAGGCACTTAGTTTTGGGTGACAGGCCTGCTGACAGCTGTGCTCACACACTGGTGATGTGACATCACCACACTCATGGGGGAAACGTGACCTGAACACGATCAACCGGCCACAGGGAGAAACATGTAAACCAGTGAGGATGGAGGGGCAGAGCCGTGAGAGGCTTTGAGGATGGAGTTTCCCTGAACGTGGCTGAGAAAAGGGTCGTAGATGGTTGTTCTAAGGGTGCTTTGATTTAAAGAGGTGATTCTAGCTCTGGAGTATTACCAAGCATCACACGTATGACATTCTGAAAAGGCTCTCAAAATGGAAAAAAAAAAAGTCAAAGACTAGAATTGAATTAAACACCAGTTGGAAGGATATTCTAAGTCTTTGAGTCAAAGCTCTTATAAAAATATACACTTGGTTCCAGTAGATAAGCTTTCACCTGAATTTTTTTTAAACTTTCGTTCTGTTTGGTATTGAAAAAATTAGGTAAGGAGGCTCAATTCAGGGTAGAGCAAATGGATATGAATTAGCTCTTTTAAAAAAAAAGTCAAGTTCATGATTTCAGCTAAATTTAGAAAATTAGGGATAAGGGACAAGTACAAAATTAAAGAAAATTTGGCTCTCAGGATGGTTAAGCCCCAAAGTCTTCCTAAGGCAAATGAACCCTTCCTGTAAATTTCTGTAGCACAAGGAATTCTTTCATAATTAAATTGCATCCCACGAGCTGATAGGTTACAAAAATTTGGAACGCAGCACCTTTATTGGTTTGCAACATGATGTACACCTAAATCCCAGAATTCTTTCACTACGGCAAAATTGTGGGGGAGATTTATCAGGAGGTCCAGGCTCATAGACCAGTTTTGTGACCTTGGGCAAGTCACCTCACCCCCAGGCCTCTGTTTCCCCATCTGTGGAATGGGGTGGGGGTGTGTCATGACACCAAGGCTCCCCTGGCCCCAACATTCTAATTTATTTCAAGGGGGCTCGTGGCAACTGTTGCCTCTTTCTGAAAGTTAAAAAAGGTGATGCTCACACAGTGCACGGAACCCATACTCCAATGCTGCTTTAGGTTCCGCCAGGACGGGTGGAGTCAGTCCCTAAGACGCCTTCGCAGCTGGCCTTTTAAAGGTTTGGCAGCTCTGAATGGACTGCAGCGTGGAACAGCTGGGATACATTTAAAACGTTCCTCAGTTCCCGCTCAAGACAGGGGTTACTTGGAATTCATCTGGGCTCATTTCATCCACTTCCTTGGACTCCCTTCTTTCAGTTCCTTTTACTAATTGATTCATGGGAGAGGTGATCAGGCTGCAGAAAGCGATAGGACATGTGGGCATTCAAATGTAATATTGTAGGGGAATTAATCTGGCATTTTTGCCAACGATAAAAATAAAATGTGATGCTGAGAAACGACCTGAGGAGGTGAGTGGGCAGAAGCAGCAGAGCCTCCGTGCGCTTCTTTTTCTAACTGGAATTCCATCAGCTCCTCTGAACCAGCCGCCTGTTACAGGGAGCTTCTCGGACCCCGGGGAGCAG